GATTTGCTTGGGACCAATAGGCTAGTCAAGTAGTGAGCCAATTTAAAATCGTTAGTTTCGTATTGATTGTTGGCTTAACACTTTCCGACTGGTTGAATTGGATTGCATAATAGACCCTTTGACTTATTAAATGATGACCGAAGTGCTCGAAAACTTGAAGGTTGTCATTTTATAAAGAGCTAAAAAATGATTTGGAATTGATAAATACATACTTTCATAAAAGTAAACATAGTGTGATAATACATAGTAAAAAAAAAAAATTGAAAATTACTAATTTCATCATCTTTTCTGGGGAATGGTGCATTCTGGCGAGGGGGACCACTCTATCTACGATGCAGGGAATATTGTGTTTTGTTGTGGCTAGCTGCGCGTACGCTGAGTAGATAGAAAGAAGATTTATCACGATTTTGAAGATTTCCTGCAAAAGATGATGCGCGATGCAAGTAGATGCGAGAAATGAAAGAAGATTTTTCGAAGATTTATTCGCTATTGTGAGATTTTTTGAGCATCTAGAATTGAGATTTAGATGTGTCGCCCCTTCGCATTCTGGGGAATGGTTTTCTGGGGAATGTTATAGAACCCGTTTTCCAAGCAAACCGAATCTGCCGTGCTTTGGAAAATCATCTTCTCGAGAGTGGGTGTCAGGATTGCCACGCAGATCGAGCCGAAGCGCGGATTAGACAGCGGGATTTGACGACTGTCGAAAGGTTAGTCCAGGAAAATGGTGATAATCAAATACCAAAATTAACACGGGGATTTCGTCACACGATCGGCACACACCAGTGCACGGTTCTTGGAGAGAATCGGTTGAAATCGGTCGTCGACAACCGGCGAGAGAGCGCGGAACTACCCTACCTCTGGAATACATTGTAAAGTGAGTACAGTTACGATTTATGCGGTGCTGCAACTAACAATGTGTCAAACAATTATTGCTGATTGCATCTGAAACTGGACTGTCCCAAAAATGCAAAAAGTGTGATAGAAGTGCACATTTCCGTCAAATCTTTTTGATGTCTTGGGAGCACTTATTGCTTGCATCATAAGGAATAAGTACGCCGAAGACACCAAGACGATTAGATGTAAACTTGCAATTTTATCACACTTTTTAATAAGTGGAAACGCGCTTATTAGTCCAATTTGGTGTGAAATGCGCAATACACAGATTGAGAATCGAGCACCCTGACAAAAAGCCTTCCAAGAGAAGTGAGTTTTACTCAACAAGATGGCCGTCAAATGGAGGCTAATGCGGAATGCGCCCCAGAGCTTTTGATTCGTGTTTTGCAGGTTCGATTATGCCATCGATTCGGAGCGGTGCAGACGAAAGCGGTTCGATAGACAGGGTACGTTTTGGCTTTGTAGCCTTCTTTCGAGGGCGGTCTACGGAGCTGCACGTACGACGGTCAGGAACACCGTTTCTAAGAGGCCGACCAGAAAGCGAGGTTCTTAGCCACCGCCAAGAGACGGTCACACTTCGAGGACGAACCGTAGCTGAAGGTGCCGTGTAAGAGCATTTCTAGCCCACTCACTACCGTGAAGAGACAGGACGGTATGTAGTACGTTTACCATTCAACGGTATGCAGGGTCAATTAGGCGACTCTTACAGTATTACTCGAAAACGTCTTGACAAACTGATGCTCTCACTGGCGAGGAATCCAATGAAGCGTTGTGAGTACAATGAACTTTTGTCTGAGTACTTGGCACTCGGTCACATGAAGGAAATAATAGAAACAATCGATGGTGCGTACTCTATTCCACTCGTACTAGCAACAATCAATACGAAACTAACGATTTAAAATTGGCTCATTACTTGACTAGCATATTGGTCCCAAGCAAACGATTAACGTGCCCCATTCTAGTCGAAATTCTAGTACTACACAATGTTTGTTTTGATTTGCTATGAAAGTTTGACAGATAAAATGAGGGGTTCGTGGATTTTCCTATGTTTCGAGGGGTGCATCGATTAGGTTTTGACCGAAGATAGTACCAGAGCTGAGCCAAAAGGTTTAGCACGTTTCTTCGGGACCTTCTTGTCTTAGAGTTACCTCTATGGTACTAGCATAGAGGTAACTCTAAGACCACTGGGTCCCGAAGAAAATCATTATTATTTTTGGCTCACTCAGTACCAGAACAACGGTCCCAAGCAGTCCCAAGCTATTTCACTCACCCCTGCATGTTCTGCATGAATCCACACACCCCTGATGTTATCTGTCAAATTTTCATAGCGAATCAAAACAAACATAGTGTAGTAATAGAATTTCAACTAGAATAGGGTACGTTAATCGTTTGCTTCGGACCAATAGGCTACTAAAGTGGTGAGCCAATTTAAAATCGTTAGTTTCGTATTGATTGTTGGTACTAGCATAGAGGTAACTCTAAGACCAGCAGGTCCCGAAGAAACGTGCTCAACTTTTTGGCTCAGCTCTGGTACTCTCTTCGGTCCCAAGCTAATCGATTCACCCCTCGAAACATAGGAAAATCCACTAACCCCTCATTTTATCTGTCAAACATTCATAGCGAATCAAAACAAACATTGCGTAGTACTAGAATTTCGACTAGAATGGGGTACGTTAATCGTTTGCTTGGGACCAATAGGCTAGTCAAGCAGTGAGCCAATTTAAAATCGTTAGTTGCGTATTGATTGTTGGTACTAGCAACAATCAATACGAAACTAACGATTTTAAATTGGCTTACTACTTGACTAGCCTATTGGTCCCAAGCAAACGATTAACGTACCCCATTCTAGTCGCAATTCTACTACTACACAATGTTTGTTTTGATTCGCTATGAAAGTTTGACAGATAAAATGAGGGGTTAGTGGATTTTCGAGGGGTGAATCGATTAGCTTGGGACCGAAGAGAGTACCAGAGCTGAGCCAAAAAGTTGAGCACGTTATTTCGGGACCTTCTAGTCTTAGAGTTACCTCTATGATACTAGTGCGTACTCGCTCGACGACAAAAACAAGGGTGAAGTTCGACGAGTCGTCAAAAACCACCATTGGCGTTTCGCTCAATGATACCATAGAGGTAACTCTAAGACCACTGGGTCCCGAAGAAAATCATTATTATTTTTGGCTCACTCAGTACCAGAACAACGGTCCCAAGCAGTCCCAAGCTATTTCACTCACCCCTGCATGTTCTGCATGAATCCACACACCCCTGGTGTTATCTGTCAAACTTTCATAGCGAATCAAAACAAACATAGTGTAGTAATAGAATTTCAACAAGAATAGGGTACGTTAATCGTTTGCTTGGGACCAATAGGCTACTAAAGTGGTGAGCCAATTTAAAATCGTTAGTTTCGTATTGATTGTTGATGATACGCTGTTGGTCGGGTCGAACCTACGGTGCAAAACGACATGCCTCGATTATCCTACGATTTTGTGTTCAGCATGTTTATTTGAAATTGTTCCATCTGTCAAATTTAAGCAAAAAATCACCAAATGGAACACAATTGTGTAGTCATTCGTACAAGAAAAGTGCGTGTATCTCTACCATTGCATTGCATAGTTAAAATTACGACAATTTCTGTTGTATTTACCACATTTCAGTAGAAATTACCATGCTTACCACTTACCAATCAGGCTAAGGCCTTGTTGTCCTCTGCTGTCCGAAGAAGTCGTTTCCACTCTATTCGATCCATGGCCACAGTTCGCCAGCCTCGTAGTCTGCGAAGGGTCCAAAGGTCGCCTACTATTTGGTCGATCCACCTTGCCCGCTGCGCGCCTCTTCTTCTTGTTCCTGTTGGGTCGCTTTCTAGAACCATTTTCACTGGGTCGTCGTGCGGCATTCTTACGACGTGCCCAGCCCACCGTAGTCACCCAATTTTTGTAATGTGGACGATGGATGGTTCCCCCAGCAGCTGGTGCAATTCGTGGTTCATTCGCCGAAATTTCCATGCACTAGGCAGAAAATAAATGGTATTTTAGTCTAGGATAAGAGAGAAGTAGATTCAAAACAATCTGCTTTGGCAACCCATGCCTAGCAACACTGCCAATGCAATCAATATAGGCGCTGCTCGATTGGCTCTACCTTTGACTGTTTATTATTATTATCATTAATTTATTTGATAAGGCTCAACCGAATTAACTTTACAGAGCCGAGGATTCTTGTTCACTACACAATACTTCTTAAAACTATAGACAAAAGGTACAACACAATAAACATTTTATCTTCCGCTATCCAATAAGCCTCCTCTACCAGAACGGGAGCCGCTTCCAGTGGTTTACTTGTATAGCAGATTCGCCAACGAGGGTCAGAGCGCTTCCATTGTAGCAATGGACGCAAAACGTGGTCAGCACTAACACATTCATCACAAAACGGTTGCTTTGCAAAGTCGACGACGCATCGACTGAAAGAACTGCTGATGAAGAACAATGAGGAGGACCACACAATGGTTGCTGCCGAGTAAACAGACGATCGCGTGACACACATTGAGAGTGGTCTGCTTCTGTCGACAGCCGAGTGAACACTGCTTTGACAGTTTGTTTGGCTCAAAACCAGTCAGTCGCTCCGCTCTTATCGTAGACCCTCTCTACTCGCTAACTTGAAATTACTCATTAATGGGTAAAAAAGACGCATTATTTGATTATTTATTATTGAAAAATGAAGCGTAATATATTTTCATGGGTTGACGGGTTTGACGGTATTTTCAGGTGGTAATTATTTCAAAGCCCGCTCTGAAATGCTGTCAAAAGTTTCATTCGTTTAAATAGGTTTTCGAATTCTGAGCTCAAAATTTTTACAGAAAACGTGCCAAATGGACAGAAGAATCACGTAACTTTTATCTGAATTTGCCATTTATGTAACATCACGTATATTCTACATGAATCATGTAGCAATAATGGAAGCTGAAAGTTTCAGGGGCTACGTGATTTTTCACGTAACATGTACGGCATATTTTTTAGAGTGTATAAGATGCAATAATCAATACTACAAGGATGTATATAGTGAAAGGGAATCTAGCCACTGAATACTAACGATTTCTTCTTTTCCACTCCACAGTGGTCCAGGAGGCGGTCTGCTCCGGCGATGCCAACATCCTGACGGCCGTCCTGGAAGTACGGGACCTGCAGCGCCACATCAAGCGGGTATCGCACGTGCCGCAGCTGTTGCAGCACCTGCAGGACACCCCGGACTTCTACGTCGAAATGAAGTGGGAGTTCACCAGCTGGGTGCCGCTGATGTCGCGCGTCTGCCCCAGCGATACCTACAAGGTGTACAAACGGGGCTCGAACGTCCGGATCGATACCACCCTGCTGGGGTTCGACAACAACACCTGGCAGCGGGGCAATCGGAGCTACATCTTCAAGGGCCACTCCGAGACGGCTACGATGATCGAAATCGATCACGACACCGGTGAGGTTTCCGTGGAGCATATGCGGAACATCGAGTCGGAGGCCATCGATGGGATTACGCCGTCGCCGGAATCGGTGTCACTGCGGCTGCAGGCGCCCGTGATTTGCAACCACATCGATATGGACAAGATAAGCTTCGAACGGAACAAGTCCGGTTTCTGGGGATGGCGTAGCGAAAAGATCGAGAACGTCAACGGCTACGAGTGCAAGGTGTACGGAGCGAGCAATGTGGAATTTATAACACGCACGCGGAACGAACATCTGAGTGAGGAACAAGCGAGGATTAAGAGTTCCCGCACACCGTTGCAGCACTTTTTGGGGATGACTGAGGAGGACTACAACCATGCGGGTTCCAATGCTGGCTCGCAAAGTGCCCTTAGAGAATCGGGTTCTTCGCCCTTGTTGGGTCAGGAAAACAGCAGCAGTGGCAACAGCCCAGTACATGAAGGAGCTTCGGCTAGTTCATTGAATGCAGCGGCTGCGGCTGCGGTGGTGGCGGATGCTGGAGCGCCCAGTATCGAGGAGTACTTTTCCACCGAAGTGGACCTGCAGGGACGGGACGTTGGAAAACCAAAGAAAATATCGGCCAAAGTGCAACGCTTCAAGGCGAACATCTGGCTGAGCGAGCAGTTCCCGATCAAGCTGCAGGAACAGGTTCTGCCAATTTTGGACCTCATGTCGACCATGGCCAGTCCGCATGTGTCCAAGCTTAAAGACTTTGTCACCATGCAACTTCCGGCCGGTTTCCCCGTTAGAATAGGTGGGTATTTAACATATTCCAAGCTTTCCAGTCACATCTTCAGCGACGGTATGTGCAATCATTTTCAGAAATCCCTCTCTTCCACGTGCTGAATGCGGTGGTCACGTTTGGCAACGTGTTCGCAATGGAAGCACCGGTGGCGAACGTCAGCAGCCTGCAGGAAAGTGACGATCGAACCTCGTGCGTCATCGACGACTGCTGTTTCGATGTTCCGTCCGAGTATGTCCGGCGAGGTCACGAGTTCCGGCGGCAGATAACGTTCGAAGACGAAGACGAGCTGATGCAGTTTGCCATCCAGCAGAGTCTGATCGAGCAGGGCAGCGAAAACGACGAGGTGGACATCTGGGAAGCATTGAAAGCGCAACGCCCGCTGACGCCCAGCTTCTACGAGGACGAACAGCTGCAGAGGTACGTAGGAATTGTGACGCTGTTGTTATGTTTTCTTCTCTAGTCTCTACTTTACTATTGGTTTCTTGATTTTGACCGACTACTGAACTGGTTATGTTTTGTATTTTCTCTTGCATGTTCTCTACGATTCTCTTGCCAATTGCGTTTTGTGGCGCACTAACGCTTGCTCTTTCCGACATCCTAACTCGAATGCTATATTATTTATTGGTTTGAATTTGATTGCGCTTAATGCTTGACTTCTGTGAGCAGTCCTGCTAAAAAGGCGGATGAGAGAAAAGCTCGCACGTCGGCACCGTCGCTGATGAGCAGTGTGCTTCCGAACTCGCTTGCGAAGAGTCCGCTAAAGAAGCTTTTCAGCAAAAGCTAATTTAGACGATGATCTGTATGTTTTCGCTAATCGCTCGGCTTAGTGCTGCAAAGTGTAGATTTTACTTGCTTTTCGAAATACAGTCCTATGTAGAATTTTTTTTTTTCAGTTCATAAGTTTTGTATTCTTCCCGAATTGGTCTTTGATAAACTTCTAGTGCTCGTTCGCTTGTAATGTAGGTAGGCTTGAATGCCTTCAAATGCCAGTATCTTTCGCGCCTGAAGCCTTCGATTTAGTTCGGTGTCTTAAACACAGTCTGATGAAGACGCAGTTTGCCTCTAGGGGCATTCAAAACAAAATCTCCTAAGGCGTTTTGTTGCTCTCATTGACAACTGCGAGTCTATCTTTGTTGCATTGCAATTTCTTAGCTGATTTTGATGGTTTCTCAATCACCCTATTCCATCCGTTTCTCCCCCGCGGCGTTTCAACTACAGTTTTTTTTTTTAATTTTCTGTGTTGTTACTGCCTTACTTAGATATTAGTTTTTAAGGCACAAATATACGGTTCAAGTGAGTTGATTCAACCCAATCCCGATCTGGTATAGTCAGCGGTCAATTGACTGGACTTCGAATAGAGCAGTAAGTCCGACATCAATCTACATACTGAGCGTTTATTTAGCAGTTCAAGTGAGTTGACCGCTGAATTGAATCATCCAAACCGGGCTTAAAGGCGAAGCTTACTGCCCCGAAATCATAATTACGTTTTGATTTTTCTAAAAAATGTGAAAAGTTGAGTCACTCGCTTAAAATTCAAATTATTGAACATATTTTACAAATAAACGTAGTTCTTACGTGAAGAAATGGATCGACGAAATTTTTTTTTTTTTTTTTTTTGTCTTTATTTTAGAGATTTTTAGCCTGAGGCTAGTTCATCTCTTGGATCGACGAAAGTTACATATATTTCCACGTAACTCTGACGTGAATTTTTGTTTTGAATGTTCTTAGAATGCATCAAATAGTAAGGACTAGAGAGGGTCTACTGTCGTTTTCGTTTTTGCGGTGCACTCTAAAAAATCTTGACGTTAATGCTACGTGAAAAATCACGCAACCTCCTTAACACCTCACTTCGATCATTTCCACGTGGCTCATGTCAATGTCAAATTAAATTTTGATAAAATTTACGTGATTTTCATGTTCGTTGATGCTAAGGGAATATCACGTAAATAGTAAGTGATAATCATGTACACTCTACAACATATACACGTCCAATATACGTGAAAAATCAAGTAGCTCATTCGAATGCTTCAACTTTCATGTTTACATGATGGTAGTAAAATTGATAAATATATCTTGTCATGTTCACTGGAGCTGATGATGAATATGAAAACATTTTCACATCAAACTTCTATGTGTGGTTGTGTGATTGTGGTGTGCTTACGTAAAATGAGTTTAAGGTGATTCCCTGTAGCGTCCTCTTTTACATCTAAAAATAATAAGGTTTCTGTGAATGTACAAAGCTGAAACTACTACTTATTGTTTGCTGCGGAGAAGCAAGGAATGTCTGAAATTTTCAGATGTATACACCTCGTAGATCTTGAGATATGTGCTCTTGAAATTGTGAGGTGTGATGGGAAACGGACTCTACGAAGAAACACCTTAAGTGATTTACATGTATGAAAAAGTGATTCAATATGGCGGCCTCTATTTTATTAGTGGGAGAAGTGATTCCTTAACAGCATACTGCAACTGTTTGAAGGGATGTTTATATTATTTTCGCTTTATTTGAAATCCATCATACACTGTTAATTACATTTATTTCGATTTCAAAGGCTGGATTACAAGATACAATTTACGGGCATTTCTAAATTTCAATTTAGCCTAACTCGACAGTTAACAGTGCAAACGGATATTGCATCTGAATCGAGATCTGAATGGTCATGATCAATTAAGTGTTGGAAAAGCGAAATAGTTAGTATTAACGTTTCAATGACACACTTGAAGTATTAATAAAAAAAAAGGCTAACAATGTTTAAAAATTCTGTTCTTGGACAAAATGGAAAACAGTATTCGTTATATCCGGTAAAGATCGCTTCAACATTACGTGCAAATCCATTCCAATTATAGTGGAAACCACGGACACGGACACGGATGAACAGTATTTTCCAGTAAATATCATTTCAAAATCACGTAAACATTACGTGATAACCGCTTCCAACTTAAGTGGAAATCACGTTATATTTACCTTACTGTTCACGTTGACTGCAACACCGCCGAACACTGAAAAAAATCAGGGTGTGGCTATCGGTTGCACCTTTGTTTACAAACAAATGATGATGAGCTGTCAATGACTCGCGCTTATTGCTGCTTACAACACACCGGTGTAGTGTATCAAAAACGAAAACGACTTAGTATTACGATAAGAGCGGAGCAACTGGCTGGTTTTGAGCCAAACGAATTGTCAAAGGCTGAGCTAATCGAGCAGCGCCTATCTTGATTGCATTGGTATTGTTACTAGAAATCGCCTAGGCAAAGGTTGCCAAAGCAGATTGTTTTGAATCCGCTTCTGTGAAAAGTGATGAACACCAGCAGAAGTCTTATAGGGGAAATGGCTCTAACGTTGGCCCATGGATCTAAGATTGGGACCATCGCTAAAAATCTGCTAATTATCAATTTTATCTAGATGATCGCGTCATTGGGACGGTTCTAATGGATATTTTTGTTCGCTATTGAAAATTTAGTCGATTGATGAATTTATATATGGGCCCAAATTAGGGGCATTTAGGCCGACATTTCCATTTCCCCTATTTCACTGTTGTTCATTTTAACTGTCTTGAATACTAAAATCCGAATGAAACATCGAGATGCTGAATAATGTTTCCTTATCAACGGAGTCACATCCAGGTTGCAGCTCCAAGTAATCCGCAAAACGGACAGTAAGTTTTCATTATAATCTATGTAGGTCTTTTGAAAAGTTATTGATACTTATAAACATTTCTATCAAGAATATATTTTGGTATCTAATGCAGCAAGAAGTTTGGAGGTGTAGCTCTGCATTTTCAAAAAATCATTAATTTCCAAGAGCTGACTGCAAATCAATGCAAAAGCATAGATCGTCAGATGTGATGTGCTTCCACAAAAAAAAAATCTAGGCTGGACCGAAACTCAGATGGATCCCTAAAAATGTCAGATTTTTACGGCAGCTTCGATGAAGACCCCTAGCAGTTCACATTTCTCGACGAACAATAATTAAAATGATCCTATCTGCTTTGAGTTTTTTTTTTTTTTCAATTCTTTATTAAAGAGATTTTTAGCCTTAGGCTAGTTCATCTCTAATCTGCTTTGAGTGATTCTCTTCATCGATTTTCTCTTTTGATAACCACTGCTAAGCAAACAGATTTCGCGCTTATTTAACCACATATCAGGCATAACATTTGATAACGGCACAAAAGCATTTGTAAACAAACTTTCTAAGGCCCTTTACACGCGAACCAAAGCACGCTCACGCAAACCAACAACATCATCGGATAGGGGCAACTATCACCTTTCCGAAAGTGGTATTGGTTTGCGTGGGCGTACTTTGGTTCACGTGTAAAGGGCCTTAGAAAGTTTGTTTACAAATGCTTTTGTGCCGTTATCAAATGTTATGCCTGATATTTTCACGAAGGAGGTTCTTATCTAGCATTCAAAACGTCAAATACAAAAGGGAAAGGTTTTGCAGCTGAATTATTAACGTGAGAGAAAGCTGATGAAGAGAATCGATCAATGCAGATAGGACCTTTTGAAATGTTTATCTAGATTTGACAAGGGCCTACAACTAAAATGTATAAACAAACCAGAAAATGGATTGTAAATAATCTCTGCACGCTCGCTCAATGCTACTCAAAAGCGAGTAGCTTCTACTCAGTTTGGTATTTTTGTACAAAGTAGTAAAGTGATTAACTACTACTCTGTTTGTTTAAAAACATTGTTTATTCACATTTGAGTAATCCTGCACAAATTTTACTCACTGCACTGTGCTTATGTCAAATAGGGTAAACGCTCCTGTAGTTGCGGTACTTTTGAAGCGTTAGGTTCATATAGTTGTGTATTGAGTCTCCATGCACAACTATAGGAACCTAACGCTTCTAACGTACCGCAATTATTAGGAGCGTTTCCCATACTCGTGACAAAAGCTTGGACAAAAGTGAAAAATCTGGTCGGTGATGGAACTTCCGATTTCCCATTCATGTTTGAAAATTTAGGAGAAAGGGATGGATCAAGTGGCTGAAGGTTAGGATTCGTTCCGTTAGTTAAAAAGGCAAGAAAATGAAGCACTTGATGAAAACTAGAGCACCTAATTAAATCCTTTTAGAAGGTTTTGGTTGCCATCTCCCCGTGCATCAAAGATTTGTTCCAAAATAGCCGAAACTGGATTAAATTTTAATCTATCTTTGTTTAGTAATATTTTTGAGTGTAGACTTGGATCAAAAACCGTTTTGTTTACGTTTTGATTATAGGCCCTCTTCAAATAATACGCGAGATATGCCTTGTTCTTTATTTTTTTCCGATGCAGATCAGAGTAAATCAAAGTTACTTTGAGTAACCCTCAGCTAAAGAGACACTCGCATTAAAGCAGCCGTCGTCCCCCTTGATTCAAGTTGAACAATGAATTTCGACAGTGAGCATGCATAAGGGTGTAAACGAGATGATCGATT